AAATGTCAGCTAGCATATTGTCAATTGCCACCGGCACCTTTTTGTGTTTCATGGCAGTCATCCACCCATCACCATGTACACACCAAAAAATTACTTCCAGAACTGCTGCTGGAGAGCTGCTGCTGGACTGTACCTAAAAACCATTCATAAAACAACATTTATAAGTTAACTTTAATTAACCAACACACTTTAACTTCACCACTACATAATTTTCAGATGGTTCTATTGATAATATATATTGCAATTCTATTAGTAAAATATATTACAGAGAATTGACAATTGGTAAATTAACATCAAATGAAAAGATAACTATGAAACAACTATGTATTGTTCTCCAGCCAAACATAAATTTATCATTCATAGAAATACACAACAATCAAATATAAAAGTAGCAATTATTATATATATAGGTACCAAAGCATATTACCTTGATAGAAGAGTCATGCTACTCTCTCACATAGAGAGTAGAGAGGCTTTGAGTCCTCATCCTTTTTTGCTGGAGTCTTCCAGATCTGCGGCTATTATAATTATCATCTTCCTCACCTAAAGCCTCTATGTCTTCTTCAACTCTTGGTGTAGTTTGCACAGGCTCATCATCATCACAATTGTCTTCATCATCACTGTCATCATCACCTTTAGCTAAGTCATCATCAAACTCATCCTCATTATGTTCTTCATCACTTTCCCCCAACTCAAACTCAATCTCCTCATCCTCAAACTCCCTAGCCCTCTTTCCACGAGATGAATTGCCCAGCTGGCTTCGACATAGGTCATCCAAACTAGGGCCTACATCATTCATAGATCTATCTAACCAGTCCCATATTGGATGTTTCTCATCAAAAATTGCAGCATCCAACATCATAGAACATGGATCAACTTCCTTGTCCTTCTGCTGGTATCCACTGTCCTCTCGGATACGCTCCTTCAAGTTATAATGGACATACACAAGCTTATGCAACTTGTCATAGCCTAGCTTGTTCCTAATCTTTGTATGCACCAGTGCAAAAGTACTCCAATTTCTCTCACAACCACTAGATGACACACATTGTGAAACAATACGTAATGCATACTTCTGTAAAGTAGGCACTTCTCCTCCAAACTGGAACCACCAATCAACTGCCACAATGGGAATGGAAGTCAGCCACAAGAAAAAGAACAGATTCAACAATTCAATGGACATGTAACTAAAATATTGAATTAGTTGGGCCTGTTCACATGCGTGCATTAAGCTGCTGCTGTCGTGTACTGGTTCTGCAGTAAATTGAGAGAAAAAAAGGTGCAGCTGCAGCAACAGCACCTTATTGCTGTAGGAAAAAAGGTGCAGCTGCAGCAACAGCACCATATTGCTGCAGAAAAAAGGTGCAGCTGCAGCAACAGCGCCATTGTTGCAAAATTTTGAGGGACATGTTGAAACAAGAGATGCTCTACAATTACACCTGAATCTCTCACATTCATCTCCCAAAATTAAACAAGCATCCAACATACAATTTATTAGACTCGATGAGACTTACTTGGGGACATAGATGATGCTCCAGCACGTGCGATGGGGCGATTGAACCTCCCAAGGCATTCCCGGAAGACTGATATTTCCTTGATTGCCTGAACAGCATCATCAGAAGCTTGTGCCATCTTCTCTATTGCATCTGTTAGTGCTAAAGAATATTACGGTTTGGTTTTGCAAAAGTTGTGCTTGTAATGGGTCTCGGGATCAAAACAGCTGACTACATAAGGTGGAAAAGAGTTAGAATTTATGGCAGTACAACATGTAACAATGATATTTAGTAGTAGTATCAATACCTGCAACCATTAATGTGTTTCTTTCCATATTGTCAACCCTCCTTGTCACCTTACTCAGAAACCGATCAAACTGTCTTGTTCCTATGCCAAGCTGAACTTCCATTGCTTGTATGGCTGCCATCATCCTCGGTTTGAACCAGAAAGTGTGCATGACTTACGTATATCGCATATCAAAGCACCAAATAGAGTGGTTTCAAGTGCATCTACTACCCACTTCGTCTGGCATCACCATGTAGAACTTGTCAGGCACGCTTCAGTGTACTCATAGTACTCATCATCCTTCCAGTCACTGTCCTTCCAATCTTGTGAAACCATCCAAGCTCGAAGATATTCTTTCTTGTCAAGGAAACTTTGGAGGAACATAAATACAGTTCCAAAGCGAGTAGCATTGGGTCTTATCAATTCCCCACCAATCTTCTTCTTCATCTCATCATGTAGCTTTGTTATGGTTGTACAGAACCTCACAGATAAGCTTAGCACTTGCAACAACATTAGCAACCTTCGGAACTTGCCAATGTCCTTCAACATGAGGTTGATAGTGTGAGCAGCACATGGCTGCCAGAAAATATGCTTGTATTCCTCAATTAGTTTCTCACATGCTTTCTTGTAATTTGACCCATTGTCTGTGACAATTTGAACTACCAATTCAGGCCAATTTTCTCAACCACCTTTCTAATTTCCCGATGTATAAAATCTGCACAACACCAAAATATAGTACAAATCAACTGCATGTTACTAATAAGTAAACACATTAAGCTTAAAAGTAGGTACATGCCCATCTAAACTAATAGCTTAGTAGTAAAAATTAACTGCATGTTACTAATGATAAACACATTCAACTTAACAACATGGGAAAAAACTTAAAGGAGAGATGGAAGAAAATAAATGAGAATAACAACTTACCAAAGACTTTGCTTGTGGCCGATACATCAATTGACTTCAGGAAGAACATGCGTGCATTACAATACACCATGAAGTTGATGATGGCCATGCCAGAGGTCCCATCCATGAGTCACACATGATAGTCACACCATACTGTTTCCAACCTTGCTTGAATTGTTCAAGAGAATTTTCAGCTTCCTCAAAGTTTGCTTCCAAGAATTCCCCGTCAATTCCATGTGATGTAGGAATCAGGTTTGTAGTCCCTAGTCTTTGAGTAAGCCTAATTGCACTCCGAAAGTACGGGCAATCAGCTTTCAGCCCAGGAATGTCATTCGCATGGAAAAACTTTGCCCATGCTTGTCCAAGCTTCTCTCTAGATCCCACTTGAAGTGCAGTGTCAATTCTAGGCTGCACAGGTGCTTTGCTGCGTGCCAAATCCTTGTCAAAGTAGGCAGCGACACTCTTTTTACCAACAGAAACACGGACACCTCTGCCACTGCCACACCTCCTCTCTATTGCACGAGAAAGGTTCTTATCTCCCAATTGCTTCCTAATATCCAAACGGACTTGGTCTTCTTCATCACTTGCAAGGTCAATCACTTCCTGTCCTTGCAGCCCTTGTATGAGATCTCTCTCCAAACTGAGCATACGTTCCCTTTTTTCTTTTTTATTCTCCATTGATGCCTTCCGTAACTCCTTCATTGCATCCCGCACAGCTCTAGGCACACTGGTGCATGACTTCACTTCACCAACTATACAGCCAAGATGGTCCCTAAACCTTGTTGCACCTCCACCTTTGTTTGTAGTCCCACAGTACCCACATTTGAAACCTTGGCCAGCAAGCTTTGAGCCATGCATCCACACCTTGTTAATGTTTCCATCATTATGGTCTACATTCCAGAAGCAAAATATAAGAAATTAAAAACATGGAAATTTAAGTAATAAATTCAAAATTTTGTCCAGAGCAATGCAAGTTACTTTCAATCATACATCAATCCACAAACATTTAATAAAAAAATAAACCTGAAGAACAGATTTATATACAATCAGTATACTAAATAGGCAGCTAAGCCACTCAGTAGTTTTGCCAAAAAAATAGAAAAAACAGAACCTGATAAAATATAAACTTCATTAATTCATCAGACCATCAGTCATCACTTCATAAAAGAATTACTTAACAAAATAACATGTCCATTGGACCATTAGTCATCATTTCATCGCAAGGATACTGCCTGCAGAACATACTTGGCATAAACTGGAAGTCTAGACAGAACATGGCACCAGTCCAAGACAACAACAAAGAGGTTCATCAAAAGATTACAACCTACAAGACATATTTGGCAGAAACTAAAAGTCTAGAACATGGCTGCCAGAGATTTACATCATTTTTTATGATACAAAATAACTAAATCTAACTGGGGCGTGCTTAAATATGATGATACAACATTAACAGAACCCCCACGCTAGCTATAGCTTCATGAATTGTATTGTACCACAAATAAATCAATCTATACAAATCATAGGTATGCAGTTATGATGTCCATCTCTATAAAATAGGGTACTCTGTTTTACATATACCTTGAGAAGCTGCTGCCGGCAGTGGTGCCGCTGGTGGTGCCGCCCGTGGTGCTGCAGCCCTTGCATGGCCATCTGTAGCACCACCAAGGACAACGCTTGCACTACCCCTGGCCCTCATCTGGGTGATGCCGCTGCTACTGCTACCCGCACTGATGAGCTTCAAAAACACCAAATGGTTGAGGCGACGTACAGCAGAAATCGCACAACATTCATCACGGATGGACGGACATACGTACCAGTAGCTCGGTGATTTGGTTTCGATGATGCCACCGAATGAACGACTACAGCAGCAATGGAGGATTGGGGATTGGGGAGGATTTGGGATATGGCTGTAGGGGAGGAGAGGAGTGGAAGGGGAGACAGATGGGGGAGGAGTGGACTGGAACGGGAGATCCGTCGCCGCCTTCACGTCCTAGTCGCTGGGCACGCGCCCGCACAAGGCGAGCCGCCGCCGTTGCTGCCGACCAGAGAGGAGGAGGAGGAGGAAATATGAAACCCTAGGGTTTCCAGGGTAATGTTTGTGCTTTTATAGCTACGGGGGGTATCAGCAGGCTGGTATGGACCTTGGGTCGGGCCGAAAATTCAAATTGGGCTGAAATAATTTGTCCGGTTCAATTCTTTCTCGGGCCTGTCCGAAATGGACGAAAACCACCGAATTTCAGGCATTTCGGGCCGAATCCCAAATCCTTGACGGTGATGTCGGCAAGGAGGACGCCAACAAGCAGCGCCTCGAGCGGGCCACCATGAACCTAGAGCGCGGCGTCGTTGCCGGCGGCGAGAAGGGCGGCGACGGCAATGGGAATGTGAGCCGGAAGCCGTCGATAGGCATCGTCCGGCTCTTCTTGGCCTGCATGGTCTCCGGCGGCATCCAGTACGGCTGGGCGCTGCAGCTCTCCCTCCTCTCGCCTCGCCCTACTCTCAGGCACTGCACACTTCATGCTCATAAACAGTGGTGGATCCAGAAAAAATATAAGGAGGTTGGACTGAAGAGAGCAAGACCAACTTATAACTCAATTATGTCACATACATAACTAATATATAGCAGTTTTAAGCATTTTATAACACGATAACTTTGATAAACAACAAGAAGTAAAAAAATACAATTGAAAACGGTAAACATGGAAAGGAGAAAGGCCCACGGCCCACTTGGCCTATTGACATTACTGCCTTACTGGGCCTATTTGGGTGGGCGGAAATAAAGAGATGGAGAAACAACCGATACGTCGTCTTCAACCTTCGTCGGCCTCTTAGGTGTTTCAGGTCTTCAACCCTTCCTTTTCTTCCTCCATTGCCAGTCCACTGTCCAAAAATTATTGGGAGAGGCTGAGGCTCTATAGGCGCGGCCACGGTAGGGGGGCTTGAGCCCCCAGCCCCGGTGGCAGATCCGCCGCTGCTCATAAAGTCGTCTTTTGTTCATACATACATGGTTTTAGTTTTCTCTGATATTTTCATTTTCATGGCCGACTGATCGACGACAACCTTTTGATATGCCCGCCTAGACTCATGGGATCTCGCATAGCTACGCGTCTCTCACATGGATCTCGGGGCCCATCGCCGGACTTGTTGTACGTGCATTAGAGCAAGGCTAACAATATAGTGGCTGCTGACTGTACAAATACTTGCAGTTTGTCTCTCAGCTCATCCATATAGTTGTTGCATCTTCAGTATTAATACATGGTCCACTTATCTATCACACAGAATTTCTTGATTTTTATATCTAAATCGGCTGTAAGCTTATAGTCCACTTTTCTTCTATCTCCTTTCCTCTCTATTCTACCTCAGCATTCAGCTTGCTTGTAGCCCCTTATTACTCGCTCTTGTCTTGTATTGTACGAAATCCTATATATGATTTTGATCTTATCTCTTGCTACTACTATTTGGATAAAGATAAAGAACGTTAAATTTTGTCAAATCAAATTAAATCTGTGCAGGTTATGAAACTGCTCACCTACGATTTATTTCTATCTTTATTTATGTTCAAGCATTTTGAAGTTTTAATTTGGGTCCTGTTTGGATCCAGTTCCGGATTCTTAAAAACCAGCTTTTGTCTCTAGTTTCTAAAATCCAGATGTTGACAAAAAAACTAGTGGGATGCTTGAATCTCCCAATTTTTATTTCATTTATTACTCTTTGGGTCACAATAAATTAGCAAAAACTGAGTATCAATAACTTCTTGGTTTTTAAGAATCTAGCAAAAACTGACACAAGAAACTGGACAAAAACTAGTATGTTTGGATCCCACCTAGTTTTCAAAAGACAGATTCTTAAAATGGCGGTGCTAGCGCCTAGACGCCCGCGTCCGGATGCCCGCGCTGCACTCTGTTTCCCGTGCTCGCGCCAGCACGCCGGGGCCCGAGCCCTCATTTCGTGTGGCCACGCGGGGCCCGCGTCGCCAGACCGCACCCCAAGGACTGCTCAGCCCCCTCCACTTCTCACGCGCATTGCAACATGTGAAACAACCGATCTACTTTTGTAATATCTAGATGAAACACTTACAACGTACGTCCGAAACAGCTGAAACACTTATAATATATACAATGTTTTCCTAAACGGTAAACGGTCTTTACACGGTCGCCCTTCGTTTAGCGTTTAGGCTATTTACACGGTGTTTAAATAAAGTTGAACGGTCTAAACGGTTTTGTACTTTAAAAAAATACATATAATTATATATGTGTATGTAAAAAATCAAGTATTCTAGCATTTATACATATTTATCCGAGTAAAAATCAATTATTTTGGTATGTATATATATTTATGCATGTGAAAAGAACCAAATATAGATATTTATGCATGTAACATATCAAGTGTACACATTTATAAATATAATAAACTTAAGTATACAAATTTATCCATATAAAACTAAACTAGATTTACCTCGTGTTCACTAAAACAGTCGTTTAAACAACTATTTAGCCCGTTTAATACTGTTTATCTCCGTTCTATTTAGGCCGTTTAGACCGTTTTTTCTCGTTTTTTAACCGTTTAAATGGTCAACCGTTTAATTTCTGTTTACTCCCTAAACAAAACAGTTTACCACCGTTTACCGTTTAGTGGCCGTTTAATCGGCCATTTAGACCGTTTAGGCGAACACTAAATATATGTCTAAAACACTTGCAAAACACCAGAAAAACTCGAAAAGACGTGTGTAGCCATTGCAAACATATGCAAACATCAAGATGAAACACTTGCAACATACGTATGAAAACACCCGCAATCTAGTTTTGCAACATCTAAATGAAACACGTGCAACATATGTCTGAAACAAATAAATATTTGAAACATACACTTGAAACATACATGTATAGCCCATTGTAACATGTGCAACAACCCGATCTACTTTTGCAATATCCTTATGAAACGCTTGCAACATACCTCTAAAAACATCTGAAATATTTAAAAATGTACGCTTGCAACATGCATCGTATCTCGGTGCAGTCTCCTCCGCCATTTTCATCGGGGCACTGTAGTCGTAGTAGGAGGCGAGGCCGGAGGGCCTCCTTCTCCTTGCGCGGCGGCCTCAGTGCTAGCTGGCGCCCGAGGGAGCGGTCGCCACGCGTGGGCGCGGCCGTGCCCGCGCTGTTAGGCAAATCGGGCCGCAGAGCAAAAGCAGCGACAGGAAGCAGCGGCGCGGCGCGGTGGAGCAGGAGCATCACGGGGTTACCATCGACGGCAGAGCGGGCCGCAGAGCAGGAGCAACGGGGCAACCGACGAAGCAGGAGCAGGCGGGGTGACCGTCGACGTGCGGAGCAGAGCGGAGCAGGTCTCTTGTCTCCTCCTTTCCTAATCCAACCGGCGCAACGGAAGAGATGGAAGCTGATACCGTAATAAAAAAAAACGAGCAGGCACGAGCAGAGGTCTATTGAGTTAATATGCAGGCCCACGAAGGGGCGTCTGTGCTAAAAAAACGTAGCATTTCCATTCTTAAAAACCAGAGGGATTCAAGCATGTCTTAATTACCAATATTTCTTTTCAAGAGATAAGATGAGATAATTACCAAGATCCGTTTTTATACGTCCAGTCATCTTCGTCCTCCTTTTCCGAGGCCGGCCGGGGATTAATGTGGCCATTACTCGAATTGATTTCGTTGGCAGGTGCAACCCATTGTGGGCTACTACAGCGACCGGTGCACCTCGAAGATGGGCCGGAGGAGGCCCTTCATCCTCGCTGGATGCATCATCATCTGCCTCTCTGTAAGCAAAGCACACATCATCGCATCACAACACACTTTTGCTTTCTACTACTACATACTGGCAGTAGCGAGATTCCCTCGGGTTTATTTATTTATTTTTTCAAAAAAAACTGACGATCGATGACGCTGGTGTTCCGGCAATGCAATGCAAGGTGATGATGATCGGGTTCTCGGCGGACATTGGGCGGCGCCTCGGCGACTCCAAGGAGCACTGCAGCACCTTCACCGGCTCCCGCTGGTACGCCGCCGCCGTCTACATTGTTGGCTTCTGGTTCCTCGACTTTGCCAACAACACGGTGCAGGGACCGGCTCGCGCCATGATGGCCGACCTAGCTGGTGAGCATGCAACTATGCAAGCGGGTGTTTCAATTCGCTGGTGGTTTCTGTATTTGAATTTGAATTCGAATTCGATCACACTCAAGCACGCAGCGCAGCGCAAGAGTAAATAATGTTGTTTGTTTACTGCACTGCCTGCTGCAGCTGCACAGCACGGCACCAACGTTGGCCAGGCCATCTTCTCCCTGTGGATGGGCTCTCGGCAGCGTGCTCGGATACTTGGCCGGCGCCAACGCGAAATGGCACGAGTACGAAGCCTGATTCGATCATCTCCGTCCTCAAAGCCTTTCATTCTCTTTTGTTTTCCTTTGCTTTCCTGAATCATCCACTGATGTGTTGTTGACTAACGCTGCTGGTTGATCCATACCATACTGTATCTGTATCCATCAGATGGCTCCCTTGGCTCAAAACCGCGGCGTGCTGCGATGCCTGCGCGAACCTCAAGGGCGCCTTCTTGACTGCGTTGGTGAGCTACGAGCAGGCACCATTAATGTCGCTGCTTCATTCGTCTCTCGTCTCTCGCTGGACTGTGATTTTGATCGCTTTCCTTTGGTTTGTTGTTGATCAGATCCTCATTATAATCACCATGTCGGTCACCTTGTGGCTCGCCGGCGAGCAGCAACTCGACAAGGACAACGTCGTCGACGCCTCCGGCAATGCAAACCTTTAGCATTTCGAATGCTAAAGGTAAGATGCTGTGGGTAAGATGCTGTGGGCGCGCGTTGCCTTTGCTTGGGAACGACACGAAGTTTCCATGTCTTTTGGCCCGTGAAGTCGTGTCTCCTCGCCACTAGAACATGCATTTCGAATGTGCGCGGCATATGCGATGTGAGTCGGTGCCGACAATTGTACAATTGCATTGGAAGAGGAAAGCTAGCGAACCACGGCCTCGCTTTCTTGCTTTCTTTGACCTCTGTCTGTGAATACTCTCACGGGCCCTTTGTCTGGCTCCCTCCGTCCTAAAAAGGAAATTGATATTCTAATAACATTAAAAAAACATTAAAGAAAACCTGATGTTTTAACTCCTGGCAATAGATAGACTGAGCCCATATAAGCTTTAAGATGATTATGGTTTGCATGCGCCCGTAATTAGTATAGTCCACCTTCAATAAACAGGGATACATAACATGGGTAATTTTCATTAAACACTAGTCTAGTCTGTCCTAAAAATCCAGTTTGTTAGGACAGAGGGAGTATAATACAGTGTATTGTGATGAATTTTGGATAAATTAAGAAATAATATAATAAACACATGTACCCCTGACTTGATCAACACATACATGGTTATCTTCCTCGTGATTAAAGAAGGATCCCTTGTGGTGGAATCTGTCCACATAGGTTTAAGTCCTTGACATTACACGAATGCTCGTATTTTTTTGGATTTATTCCTGGATTTACCAAGGCTCGTGTAGTGACTTCGTTAATCTCAAGATTTACTGAACTTAGCTCTTCGGAGATGCTCATAGAGATACGATGTACATGCGTGTGTTCATGAGGTGAGTGTGCTTTCTTCGAAGGTGCTTATAGAGATAAGGTATGCGTGCATGTGTTCATTGGGTTGAGTATGCGCTCATGTATACAAGCGTCTGTGTCTGCACTAGGTCTAAAAAAGGGTATATAGTTAGTTTACTTATAAAAATGGAAAGTAATGATACAAGCAAGTAAATTTGGATACAAGCTTATTATCCTTTTGTCCCTAAATCCCTTATATCTCGATAACATTTTTAAATGCTTGAATGCACTTTATACATTACAAGAAACAGAGTATTTTGAGAGCTTCCCACCATCCGAGAGCTGAGATTGAATGTCAAGGCAATTATGTTAAAACAATATTAAGAGCTTGATTAGTGTTAGAATTGGCTTCAGTGCCTTTTGCTATTATAATTGACAGGAGGACAACTCGGCATTTAAGAAAGCAAGAAGAGTCATGCAGGCTTGGGGATACCAGTGTATATCCAAAAACATCAATGTATACCAAAACAAATAAGTTTTATCTTTGCCTTTCTCCAATAGTTGTGTATAGTTATTAGCTTTCTAAAACTCAAAAGTTTTGTTTGCTACCCTGTCTCAGCACGTATTTCATTAAAAATGGGGTAGAAACATTACATGGCATGACACTGTAACCAATAGACTACCGAGGCGGCCGTCCAAGGACACTTTCACCAGATTCGGATTCATTAGCTTGGATCCACCAAAATATTTCACAAACAGTCTATATCCACCAAATTCAGATTCACCAAAATGGTGAATTTGAGGGCTGGATTCACCATTTTGGTGGATCTCCTCAAGGGGTGCTCCACGAATGAACGTTTCGTACCTCCTCGAGGATTTGGGTGGAAATTACCCATCTTTGCCACTGGTTACACACTTCTTCCCACATACCGATTCGATTCTTTTCCTTCCGACACCTGACCGCGCCCCTTCTCCTCCTGTCGCGCCCCTTCTCCTCCCGTCCCGTCGTGCCCGTACGGTCCTCCCATCGTGGCCATGGTGGCCGCGCCGCCCATCCCCTCCCTCCATCTCTCCCCTCCGACGAGCTCCCCATGGCTGGATCCAGTAGATCCGGTCCTCCTCGACCTCCTGCACTCCCTTCTTCGTCCTCATCCATGGGGAAGGCCGCTCCTAGGGTTGTCAGCTATGGAGCTCCTGCTCCTGGCGTCGATGCCGGTGTCATTCCCCCTTCGGCCGGCATGCCTGGAGTCGTGGCTGGTGGCATGCCCCCTCAGGCAGCCACGGCCGGCCTTGGCCCGGCCGACGTACAGGGAGTCACGGCAGGCGTCGAGCCCGCCATGGGTGGCGCATAGGCTACCACGGCTAGCCTCCAGCCCGCCATGGCCACCTCCCAGGCCGCCACGGTTGGCCACCAGCCTGCCATGGTCGCCGCCCACCACATCGACCCGGACGGCCAGCAGGCTGCCATAGCCACCGGTGGTTCTTCGTCGCAGCAGCAAGTAAGGACACATGCTCCATCGACCAACAAGACGGAAAGAGATATGAGGTATACATTTCTCTTCCAATTTTTTGCAGCAATAATACCGTTGTGGGGAAATCTTGATTTGGGTGATGAAAGAATTGTGGGAAATTAATGTCAAGGTGATGCTATGGACTAGGTTGATGGTTATACCTCGCTTGTTTGTAACTTGTTCACCGAACAAGTTAGAAAAGGGAATCGGCCAAGCACTCATTTGAACAATGTAGGCTTTATAGAGGTATCTGATAGTTTTTTTTTCAGTCCACCGGAATAATGTTGTCTAGGCAACAACTAAAAAACAAATGGGGCAAGTTGAGAAGGGAATACACTGCATGGCGGAAGTTAATGAGGAAGCAAACTGGGGCTGGTTTCAATTGGAATACAGGAACGATCACATGGACCCTGAGTGGTGGAAGAAGATAACAAAGGTGAGTGTTATTTGTAATGCTAAGGCATGTGGTGCCAAACCAAACTCCGATGAGCAATTTGTGGCATCCGAGTTGTTTATCAAGAAAGAGCAAAGGGAAATGTTCTTGACCTCCCCCCCTCGATCGGAGGCTCAATTGGCTTAGGAGGAAGTATGATGTGATGTATGGAGGAAAGTGAAGGCCAAGTTGTCTAGTGATGATTGGGAGATTGTTGCCATTTTAGAGATGCTGTCATTTATTTATGCTCATTTGGTCATGCCTTTTTTTCTTGCTCATTTTAGAGATGTTGTCATTTATTTAAGCTCATTTGGACATGTTGGAGTAATATGTTATGATCATTTAGACATGTTGGAGTAATCTGTTAGGATCATTTGGACATGTTGGTGTAATCTCTTATGATCATTTGGACATGTTGGAGTAATCTGTTATGATCATTTGGACATGTTGAATTTTTTAATGCTTATTTGCACATGTCTTTTTTTCTTGCTCACTTTAGAGATGTTGTCATTTATTTATGCTCATTTGCACATGTCATTTCTTGCAGATGTCTAGTGATGATTCTAGTGATGAGAATGATGATTTTTTCAAAATAGTCTTAAGTGGTGCTATGCTTGCCCAAATATATTGTGACATGTACCTAGATAAAAACCCACCAAGGACTTCAACCACTAGTGGCATGGGGTGGTTGCTAGAGACATTGCACACTCCGGGGGAATGCCATACTCAACTTCATATGAGCAATGAAATATTCGAGGACCTCCATGGTTTATTGGTGGAAACGTACGGGCTAAAAGCATCCTATCATATGTCTACCTATGAGAGCCTTGCCATGTTTTTATTTACATGTGCTGGAAATGAGTCGAGCCGAAAAGTTCAAAATCGGTTCAAGCATTCGGGTGACACATGGTCTAGGAAATTGGATGAGGTCCTTAACTCTTTGATGGCCATGGCAAAGGACTTTATTAGACAGGACCCCAATTTTCCTACAGTTCATAGGAGGATTAGAGATGATAGACGAGCGTATAGGATTGCATTGGTGCTCTAGATGGCACGCATATTCGAGTTTCTCTTCACCCCGACGAACAAGTGAAGTATATTGGAAAAATAGGGATACACACCCAAAATGACTTAGCATTTTGCGATTTTGACATGCGGTTCACATATGTATCCACGGGTCAAGCGGGATCTATGCATGACACAAGTGTGCTATACAATGCAATCAATGTGGACGAAAAATTCTTCCCACATCCTCCACAAGGTAATATGAATGAATAATTAATCGTTTATTCTCTTTTGTATGATACATAATATTCAATTATATTGTTTTCACCATGTTTAGGCAAATACTATGTTGTTTGTGTCGGTTATCCTAATCGGCCCGGCTATCTAGCTCCTTACAAGAGTGAAAGATATCATATGCCGGAGTGGCATAGATGTACGGAACCCAAAACACCTAAGGAAAAATTCAATCACATTCACTCTTCTATTCGAAATATTATTGAGAGGTCTTTTGGAGTTTGGAAAATGAAGTGGCAAATTCTATACAAGATGCCAAACTACTCGATGTGGAAGCAAAAAATGGTGGTTGTTGCTTGTATGGTCCTTCACAATTTTATTCGTGGGCATGACAGTGAAGATGCGGACTTTGCTCGTTTCGATCATGATCCTCATTTTGTCCCAACAATACCGGAAAGGTATAAGAAATATGCAGTTACATCAGATGGTTCTACATCGGAAGCCAATGCCCCCACTATGGATAAATTTCGTGATGACTTGGCCACGGCTCTTGCTATTGCTTGGAACAACTAGCATATAATGGAAGACTAGTCCTCATTTTGTGTGTCATGGACCTTTGCTCTCTTTAGATATTTTTATGTATGAACAATTGTAATATTGTTGAGATGTTGTCATGGACAGGGTTAAAAAATACAAAAGACGCGCTCTACATGTATCATGTTACGACCCAAGGGCAAAATAGATCATTCATAACAAAACAGACCATTCGTGAATTTGAGTTTGCTATTTTGCCAAACACTTCCTTGGTAGATCCAGGGTGAATCTCAGATCCACGCAGGATCTGATCCATGGTGAATCTCAGATCCAGATTCACTTTTCTAGTGGTGAATCTCTACCAAACAGGCCCTGTTACTCAAAAGTAGAGCGGGAGGGGGAAACCACATAGGAGTGGGTGCCTGGTAGGATAGCAAGTGAGGAACGCACAAGCATATCTGGGAAGATTGAGGAGCAGATTTACTAAGATTGTTTCTCGCATTCTATGCTTTCAGATCTAAAACTGACTTGGCGCGATGAATTCTTCAGTCTTCACTTCTCCCATGGCAGGAGAACCTTGTCAAACTCGAACACGGACACCGGGGCACTCGAGTACATGGCGCTTGTGATCTTCGCGTTGGACCCCAGCATCGACTTCACTCGGATACTGCCCAAGTGTTCGGTGAAGTTGAGCGTGTACTGCAAGCCGGCAAAGGTGGCCACCGGGTTGCGCTTGCGCCTGCCCAGTTCGCTGAGCCCATTCAGGCTGTAGAACTTGGGGACTGCGTGGTACAGGAGCAATGACTTGATCTGGCCCTTGGTGAGCCTGGTCTTCTTCAGTTCGGCGAAGGCCGAGTCCCTGGGGACAAACATGGTGATGCCAACTTTGGTGTTGTCCGCCTGGTTCTGGAAGGTTTGGATGACGCTGGTCTTTTGCAGCCTTGCAGGTCCCAGGAAGGTCTGGAATGGACCAGCCACATCTAGGAAATTAGCGAGGTCAACATGGTACACGGGAGCAGCAGGGCTCTTGGTCTTATGAGCAATTGCTGGCGAGGAGAGCAATATGGAAAGAATGATCGTGGTCAAAATGACTCGTTTGAACAACGCCATGAAGGAACATTCGCTTTTCGTCATCAGTTCTTCTATGGTCGTCTGATCCAAGTTACTGGGTTCATGCAAGAATAATAGTGAAGCTTAGACAGTGAACTTATGTGTAAATCTGAATAACTGAATTATATCAGTTTTGTGTTTTCTGCTAGCCACCATTCACCAACATAAGCAAATTGTCAGGACTAAAGTAGAAAAGTATTGAGGTTTCCAATCAGCTGCAGCGAATGCTTTTGATTATCCACGAAATTGAACATCCTAACGTTCAGAGAAAAACAAATCAAACATTGTAAGAGCTTACACCAAAATCAGACGCAACGCATGCTTCTCTCAGCTTTTAATAGGGGGAAAAACAAAGCAGGAATTAAGAAGATTTGCGCATGTCATGCATTTGTAGCAAGGCACGATGATGATCTAATCTGGCTCGCAAGCCTCAAAACTGCAATGTGTGGCGACCAAGAAAATCACAAACTCTGAGCATTGGTTCAAGACTTCAAGGCATCGGATTGCAGATTGAGGGGAGACTGACCTGAGTAGGCAGCAGGATGAGTGAGCAATGGAAGGAGCTGAGGGGGTGGTGGAATGGGAAAGGGATCACCGAATATGGAAGTCAGCGGGAGTGTGCTATAAAAATTGTTGCTGTGTCAACATGGATCTGTTGGAAGTCAGCCATGCCTTCGCAAACCGCATGAGCAATAACCCACTGGCAGGGGCAGACCGCAGGCGCCTCAGTTTCATGTATAGGAAAGCAACTTAGGACTTTAATTTTACGGGAATGCTAGGTGCAGAGTGTCCATCCGTCCGGAGGCCCCTTCATGGCCCGTATACCATCCCAATAGATATCTTGCGCCCGCTCATTATTTTATTACAGTATCCGCGTCTCTCTCTTCTGTTGCGCCGGTTAGACAAGGAAAGGAGAAGGAGACAAGAGACTAGCTCCGCTCTACTCCACGCATCGACGGTCACCCCGCCTGCTCCTGCTCCATCGGTCGCCCTACTGCTCCTACTCTGCGGCCCGCTCCGTCGTCGACGGTTACCCTCTGCTGCTCCTTCTCATGCTCCACCGCACCGCCTCGCTGCTTCCTGCCGCTGCTTCTGCTCTACGGCCCGCTTCGCCTGATGGCACGGGCACCGCCGCGCCCACGCGTTGCGACCGCTCCCTCGGCTGCCAGCTAGCCACTGAGGCCGCCACGCAAGGAGAAGCATCAAGCCGTGGCGTGGAAGCCCTCCGGTCTCGCCTCCTGCTACGGCTGCGGCTCGATGCAGACGGGGAAGGAGGCCGCACCGAGATACGATGCATATTGCAAGTGTACATTTGAAATGCTTCAGATGTTTTAGAGGTGTGTTGCAAGTGTTTCATAAGGATGTTGCAAAGTAGATCGGGATGTTGCACATGTTGCAATGGGCTATACACGTATATTTTAAGTGTATGTTCTAAATGTTTCATCTGTTTCAGACATATGTTGCAAGTGTTTTATTTGGATGTTGCAAAACTAGATCGAGATATTGCATAGATATGCAAGTGTGTCAGGTGTTTTCATACATATGTTGCAAGTATTTCATCTTGATGCTTGCATATGTGTTTCAATGGCTACACACGTGTTTTCAAGTTTTTTCTGGTGTTTTGCAAGTGTTTCAGACGTATGTTGCAAGTGTTTTAGCTGTTTCGGATGTATGTTGCAAGTGTTTCAGCTAGATGTTGCAAAAGTAGATCGGGTGTTGCACGTGTTGCAATGCGCGTGAGAAGCTGAGGGGGCGCGAGTGGTCCCTGCACGCGGTCTAGCGGCGCGGCCCCACGTGGGCGCGTGAAATGTAGGCTCGGACGGGGGCATGTTGCCGCGAGCGTGGGAAACGGAGTGCAGTGTGGGTGTCCGCCCGGGCATCCGGGCGCTAGCACTGCTGTTAATTTTATGACCCACAACACTGTTAGTACTATACTTATCTGATTTAAAATATCAGTTGCTTTAGTTCTATGCTAAGTTAATTTTAAATCAGAGTACTTTTCTAGCTTTGCTCAAGTTTATAAGAAAATACATAATATTAGCAACATCAAACAAGATTCATTCCATACACACTATGATATATAGTTTAACTTCATACTGCATTTATTTGTTGACATAAATATTTATAATTTTTTTCAGATGATGTTTTTTTTCTCTTACCTGATGTTTCTCCTATTTTTTTACTCAGTCATTTTTTTCTCCCACAGCTGGTCTTTTTTGCACATCATTTTTTGCACGCGGCCGGCCGATTTTTCCCCATCACTTGATGTTTCTCCTGACTTTTTGCATGATCTTTCCACTTTTTGCCGAATTTTCCATATGGAGTAACTAAAGCAAAGGAACTATTTGATCTTCAGCCGGCAATGCAACTAGCCTAACCAAACTAGCTAGTAAAAATGCTACGAGAACTTAAGTGGTTCTTTGTCCATGCATGTGCCAATGCTATCTCCACTGAGGGTTGTAGCGTTGGGAATAGAAAGAGGCAGTCGTTATACATACTAAGGTAAGTGCGGAGCATTTATTTGTGGTCCATCATTGTCCCATACCAGTACAACTTAGAGCAGCGTGTCTAGGCATGACACGAAGATGTGGGCCTTGGGCCAACCCACCGAGGTTGACCCATTTGGCCATCTACTAATCCAAAAGAAGCTGAATGGAAGGTGGTGCACCTATTGTGTATATGTTGATAATGCAGTTGTGGATTTGAAGTTTTTCCTGTAGGATATTGTACATGTCTAAGGAGGAAAAAGAATGTTTGTAGGGGTAATTTTTATACACAATTCATTTGCGAACAATACAAGATTGATTAGTATTGGCGGTAATGATCATGTGCTTTTGTACCTATGGGTTTTCGGCTAGAACCGACTGTACAAGTTTTTTTATTTACGTGAAACCAACAGTAGAAACAATAATGTATGCCCTAGAAAGCCAAAATCGATGATGTTGGCTTCTTTTGAATTGGTTATGAAGACCCTTACCTGTAGTAGTGTATGTATGCCTTATACATACTCATATGAATTTCTATAGTGGTACCCTTTGCTATGGGGGTTGGCATTGGTATGTGCATTTTACTTCTAGTTCCTAAACTCAAGGATTAAAAAGACAAGAAAAATGAGGGAATACTTCTTCAACCAAAACCGAGGGTATAAGAAGTCCAAACTTGTGAGCAAAACAGAAGTTAATGAATTTATAAATGAAGTCGCTATTCTTTCTCAAATCACTCATTGGAATGTGGTGAAGCTTTTTGGATGTTGTCTTGCGGCAGAAGTTCCATTATTGGTCTATGGTTGATTCCTAGTGGAACACTTCATGCTCATCATCTCCATGTTGACAGCCCATATATTGTTTCTTACATGGAAAGATCACTTACAAAATAGCCATTGACGTTTCTAGTGCATTGGCTTATCTCCACTCCGCAATTTCAATATCTATAGTCCATAGGGATATCAAGACAAGCAACATACTTCTTGTGATGATCGTTTAACAACAAAAGTGTCAGACTTTGTGCATCTAACGGAATGGATCAATATCAACAAATCAGGACTAACAAGTAACAACTGCCATACAAGGAACATGTGAATATTTCTATCCTGAGTATTACCACACAAGAAGAATGACCGATACAGTGATGCCTACAACTATGGTGTTATACTTTGTAGAGCTACTACCTCGAAGTAGGATACCAACCACTGACAAGTAACAACTGCCATACTCTAGGAGAAGAAGCCAAAGGAAGAAGATGAATGTGTGTAGTGGGCCCACCTATCAGTTACAGGTGACAACTTCACTGCAAGTCGTATATGCAACATATACATAGGCAAGCGAATTACTAGTTCATGGTTCTAGGCGTACGTTAACCACCACGACGGCTCGGCCCTATACATTGACCGAAAGACATGAGCTTTTCCACATATATCTGAATAGAGGAGCTTAAGCATTGGATGGCTCAAGTTCGGCATGGGCCATGGCCCTATCTTGTCGCTACCTTGAAGGCCTAAACAACACTGACCCATATCACCATTGACTTGTCGTTGTCTTAGGTGCATCACTTCCCTTCACATGTACACCTGGATCTACAATTCATCTTTCTAAGTCCTATTCGACGATCTTATCCACAATACCAAAACTACTCACTCCTTCTAAAAAATACAACCATCACTTTGTTTGGTGAGTCAAACACTTTAATTTAACTTAATTTATAAAACAAAACAAATACTATTATTTTATTTATGATGATATCAAATAGGTACTATTAGATTAGTCGTGAAATAGATTTTATAGTATATCTATTTAAAATCATAAATATCAATAATATTTTATAAACTTAGTTAAATTTAAGAAAGTTCGAGCCCATTCAATTCTAGAATACATATATATTTTTGATTGAACGGAGTTAGTACTAGTCTACTAGAGAACGGTCACGCATGAAACACAACTAGAATTTTAGACTTTTTCTAGTGATGTGGGTTTTTTCTAGTGTTTTAGCATTCAAAATTTAGTATACATTTTCCCTACTAAATGCCTCCTAGTGAGATTCTCATGTGCTATGACTAGTGATAGTGTTTTATTACTACTTAAAAACACTCGGAGAAGTCCACAATTTTAAAGCATGAGCCGGCGGTCGGCCGGGAGGCCTCTGGCTCAAAATTGACATGTAATAAAGACTTAAAGAGAGGCCGCAGCACTGTACAACTTACATGTCCCAAAACTTGCTTTTGGATGAATATTTTTTTTTAATTTTTAACTAAATATATATAAGAAAACTAATATTTATGATGTGTAATAAGTATCTTAGATTAATAGTGAAACATATTTTCATAATAAATATATTAGACCATCTCAAATAGTTCCTACAAAACAGTTGGTGTAAATCATTGACTTTTTCAAGTGGCTAAAAAAAGTTAGGAGTAAATTTATTCGGCAACAATTTTCAAAAACTTGCTCCTATAAAATATAGAAGACAAACCACGTTTATACCTTTTTCTTTTGTATATTTAAATT